GTGAGGAGCTGCAGCTAGGCACTCAACTAGCCTACACCACCCACTGTGAGCTCAGGAACTGTGTTAATAACCAGACACAGTAATCCCAGCAGTCAGGAGATCTGTGGGCAGATGGCTTAACAGTTCCAGGCCACCTTGAGCTACACAGAGAGCGCTTGTAGCCCTCAGGGCCAAGTGGCTGAAGCCGTATCTACACCTAAGAGTCCAGGTGCAGGTCTTAGGTACCCAGGCCCTGCTGCAGACGTAACAGTAAAGGCCTCTCCCATGTGAGGAGAGACAAGACCGGGTGACTCGGGGACTGCCATCTGTATGAGGCTGGCATCCTCTTGTGCTTTTTGGATAATTGAATCTCAGATAAGGGAGAAAAAGAACAGAAGTTCTTTAGATTTTTTTAAAGTTTTAAGAGTAAAAGGGAATCCTGAATCCTGCCTTTTTTTCCCCTTGAGAAACCAACAGTTGTATTTCTCCTGGTGTAGTGTGGGCTCAACCACTTGTTAAGGATCCCTTAATTTCTGTTTCCAGTGAAAATGGAGGACAGAGGAAGCGATGTGAGTCCCCACACAGGCATCCTAAGCAAACAAGAAAACACTTGACACAGTTTAGCACATGTGTCCTTTATCCCCTATTAAAGTGCCGGCAGAGAGCATGCCCATAAAGTGACTGCTCTCCATAGAGAATATCAAAAGACTTTCTTTTTTTTTTTTTTGGTTTTTTGAGACAGGGTTTCTCTGTGTAGCCCCTGGCTACCCTGGAACTCACCCAATAGGCCAGGCTGGTCTAGAACTCAGAAATCTGCCTACTTCTGCCTCCCAAGTGCTGGGATTAAAGGTGTGTACCACCATTGCCTGGAATCAAAATACTTTCAATCTACTTAGAAGTCAGTGTCTGCCCAGTCACAGAAATTCTGTGTAGCTACAGAACCAGTCCGTTAACTAACACGTTGTCTGAGCATGTAAAGGTTATTAGAAATTGTCTTCAATGACATGAAATATAATTGTTATTCCCAAAAGAAACACATTACCCCAATCATGAGAAATACAGGCTGGCGGCATGCACTTGGCTACAAATGCACCAAAAGCATCAGTGTCACCAAAAGGGAAACCACTACAGCCAAGTGGAGCCTAAGGAGATAGATGGTTTCCTAGAGAGAGTATGTGAGCAAAAACAGACCTAAACCAAACTAGGAAATTATTAACTCTAACAAATGCACCTTAGTGACTCCTGGTGCTAGCGGGGGTGGAGGGCAAGACATACGACCTGTTCAATTCCTCTAAGTCTAAACATAAAAAAATAAAATCCAGGTCTGGAGAGATGGCTCAGCAGTTAAGAGCACTGTCTGCTTGAGGCCTTGAGTTCAATTCCCAGCAACCACATGGCTCATAACCATCTGTAACGGGATCTGATGCCATCTTCTGGTGTATCCAAAAGGGAGGGACAATGTATTCACATACATAAATAAATCTTTAAGAAAGAATGAAATCCAGACTGGGGTATGGCTCAGCAGTAGAACCCTTCACTAGCAAATAATTTATATATTAATGAGAATAGGAACAAATAATTGCTATTGAAATTAAGCTTTTCCAATAATTCATCCCATTTAATATAAATTTGACTTGCATTTTTTTTAATTTCTTGAGAACTGCCTACATGGATACCCTGAATTTACATCACTTCTGACCTTCCCTCCCCCCCCTCCCAATTCTTCCCATGTCCACACCAGTTTTCCCTAAATGAACTCAGAAACATTGAAGGAATTTGAGTTCATGTAACTAAGGTGAATAAAAGTAATTTGGTTTTTATTCAGAACAGCCATGCCTTTCACCTGGGTTAAGTACTCATCTAACGCATGTTTTTCTTAAACCAACACTGGTTGGCAAACTTACATTTGCCAGGAAGCTTACAAATGGATTGCTATAAGGACTGAGAACTAGAGCAGAAGCCTGTTGTTTGAGGATTTTGTAACCTAGTCCATCAGAGGTGGAAAACACATCAGCTAGGCACTTAGTCTTTCCACATTATTGACACACAGTGAGGGTGGGTTTTGTTTAAACAGCAGAAATCCTAATGTAAGCTCCAGTAGACAGAAGCACCTGAACTAGATTTAAAACCAAGGAGCTGGACATGTAACTGGTAGAGTCATGCTTGCCCAACATGCACAGAACCCTGGGTTCAATCCCCAGCAACTCCACAAGCTAGACATAGTGGTGCACTTGTTCATTTGTTTGAACAAGTCCTCTCTTGCTGGGGGCGGGGTGGGGAGACTTGTCAACTCTTATGTGATATAGTAGACTCCTGCCATCCTGTAGAACTCTACAGTATTCAGCATGTAAAAATAAACTGTCGTTGGTTGTCGCTGCTATCTTGTTGGACACATGTGAGACAAGAGCAAAAGAAGCTATCAAAGAAAGCTAAGAGTGGCTATTGAACATCCTATTGCATCTTGGGATTTACCAAAAGTCAAGGCAAAATGAGGGACACTGCTCTGGCAGTATAATCACCTGGCCCAGGTGACTTTCCTGGGAATGGTTCAGTAGCTCAAGTCCTTGCTATGCAGGCATGAGGATCTGAGTTCAGATCACTAGCACCCATGTAAAAGTTGGGCAGAGTGGAACATGTCTGAAACTTTGGGGCGTATTGCAGAATATTGGATCAGACCATGAACCCTGAGATTGTGTTTACTGTAAAAATCTGATTCTAACTGTGTTGCGGCTCAGCCTTAGCACACACACCTTTAATTCCAAACAATGAAGGTAAAGTTAGTTTGTAGAAGAAAGCAGCCATATTGGAAGGTGATGTCTAATTGAGTGGCGGACAAAGTGACAAATCAGAGGACGATTTGACAGACCAGTGCAGAGAGAAAAAGGAGAGTTTTACACAGACAAGTTGAAGAGAGAACAAACTAGACTGAATGAACCAGAGAATGAGAAGTGTGTGTATGTTTTCATTTTAATCCCAGGTGTGGGACATGGGCTGCTTCAGATTGTCCACAGTAGCTATGATTTGACTCCTGCTCTGGCAGGGCATGGTTTTGCCAGCTGTAGGTACTGTCTGTGATGTTGTGATGTTTGGAATTCTGGAGACTTTTCAGAGGGTATATAAATGCTAGGGCCCCAAGAGGTGAGTTGTTGGATGCTGTTGGTCAAGGTTTGTTATGTAGTTGTGCAAAAAGAAGAAACAAGAAATTAGATATCCTGACAGCAAACCAACAAACTTTCCCCAAAGGAACTCAACACCCCTAATCAGCAGGAAGTAGTCTAACCAGATAACGTTGTCCCCTTCCTGACCCTTTACTTTATTCAAGGATCTTTTTCCTTTGCTCTCTATCCTTTTTTCTCTTATTCTAGTGTTAGGGGGTTGAAGGGTGGAAGGAAAAGGGTAAAGAAAGGTGGAAGAAAGAAGACCCCACAGAAAGTAACAATCAGCCGGGCGGTGGTGGCGCACGCCTTTAATCCCAGCACTTGGGAGGCAGAGGCAGGCAGATTTCTGAGTTCAAGGCCAGCCTGGTCTACAGAGTGAGTTCCAGGACAGCCAGGGCTACACAGAGAAACCCTGTCTCGAAAAACTAAACCAAACCAAACCAAAAAAAAAAAAATCACAGACTACAAGGCATGAATTCGCTCTTATTTAGTGACCCTTTAGCCTACTGGACATCTGTGGATTGCCTCAAGATACACAGTGTCAGCCTTGCCTGCTTGGAGCTATCTTGCCATTGCTGGTCACTGTTGTGGTTTGTAGGTTTTAAGGCTGAGCAGGCCTACTGATTGCTCCTCCCCCTAGGCAGCTTGCAGAGCATTTTAGGATACTATGAAACCTAGTCCACAGGAGGCGGCTTCCAGATCACTTTCTCCAAGTCTTTTGGCTGGCAGGTGCTATTTTCAACAACGGGGAACTTACCTTCAGTTTCTGGGAGGACAGCGGCAACAGCCATATTAGTTTGGGAGTCTCTTAGATTCCCCTGACCAACAAGCCAAAGGAAGGGTCCCCCAGGCCTGTCATTTTGTTAGGTAGTTTAATGCTCTTGGGGAACATTGTCGCCTTGGCATAGCTTCGTGAAGTGTGTGAAAGAAATGAAAAATGTTTCCCTGAGGCCTTTCAACACTTTTTGAGTTATTATGCCCCACCCCCTTATTGGCCTCCTCTCCCTTTCTGCCTCACAGTTAAATCCCACCCTGGTTTTTCCCATATCCCCCTTTATAGCACCTGTGTCCTGTCCCCCTCTCCAGCGTACCTTGTCTCCTTGGTCCCTTTTACCTTCCCGATTTCTGTGGGGACTCCAGGTTATACACTTACATCTAAAGATTCTGAGCTAGGGAGAGAACATGCAACATCTGTCTCTGGGTCTGAGTTACCACACTTGTAATATTTACTGGTTCTGTTCACTTACCTGAAAGTTTAATTTTCATTTTTTTTTTATTTTTATTTTTTTCGAGACAGAGTTTCTCTGTGTAGTCCTGGCTGTCCTGGAACTTACTCTGTAGACTTTTTTTTTTTTTTAACAGCTGAATAAAATGTCACCATGTATATGAGCTGTTCTTTCATTATTAACTAAGAAGTTGAAGAAAAAATTTTTTAAGGAGCTAGAGAGATGGCTCAGAGGTTAAGAGCACTGGCTGCTCCTCTGCAGGTCCCGAGTTCAGTCCCCAGCAGCCACATGGTGGCTCACAACCATCTGTGATGGGATCTGATGCCCTCTTCTGATGTGTGTCTGAAGACAACAACTGTGTGCTCACATACATAAAATGAATCTTAAAAAAAAAAAATGTTTAAACCTGTGGTTGCACCCTATCCTACACAAAATAACCTGGGTGTTGTCTTTCTGCCTCTTGTTATACCTCTGTTGAAGATGCTGATCTCAGTCTTCTGTGAAGGCTTTCGTGCTATTGGATAGCTGGTGCCTGTTGTATAACATGCATGTGCCAAAATGGATCTTTGGCAGAGCAGAGACATAACTGGCTGTAGGAATCTAGCTCGTGGCTGAGGTAAAATATTTCTAATTTCAGCTCCTGGTGGACCCATGTTGAAATGGGACCTCCAGATCCCATCCTGGGAGTTACCGAAGCCTTCAAGAGAGATACCAACAGCAAGAAGATGAACCTGGGAGTTGGTGCCTACCGGGATGATAACGGAAAGCCTTACGTGCTCCCCAGTGTCCGGAAGGTGAGCTTGGCACTTGTCTCCTGCTAGCATAAGATGTGGAACCTGAAGGGAGCCAAAAGGGGTGCTGGACCAGGACTCCGAGACCCACAGGTCCTGGCACTGGCTTTGTGACTCACCTGGGTTTTCTAGACCATGCTGTGAAAGTGGGTCAGAGCCACAAGGTCTGCAAGATTGTAAGTCAGGCATGGTGCCTAATCCTGAGGGGGCACAAGAGGTCTACAATTTTAACATTGTCTCTTAAGGAGAGGAATTCTAAACATGTATTCAGTGATTGATAAGCTATTGTTGCAGGCAGGACCACAACCATTACTGTCCATTTGATAAGCTGCTGTTGCAGGCTGGACCACAACCATTACTGTCCATTTGATAAGCTGCTGTTGCAGGCTGGACCACAACCAAGCACTATTGTCCATGATCTCAACAGTTCACCACAACCCTGTGAGCCAGGGAGGGTGACTGTCACCTCCATTGTCATAGTGAAAGATCCCCAGACCGGCGTGTAACCTGAAATTCATTCCTTTTATACAGTCAGTTGGATTTTGTCGTCTCACACATACCTAACACGTTGCTCATAAGTCTCATTTTTACACACTGCAAGAGAACCCTGTTATGTTACGTGGAAACCAAGAAAGGCTATACCTTTCCATCCTTTAGCCAAGATGACGGCACACATCCCAGTAATTGTGCTGGACACGGTGACACATACCTTTAATCCCAGCCCTCAGGGGACAAAGGCGGGTAGATTTCTGGGAGTTCAAGGTCAGCCTATTCTATATAGCAAATTCCAGGACAGCCTAGGCTACCGAGAAACCCTGTCTCAAAACAATTAAAAAAAAAAAAAAATCTCAGCACTTTGAAGGTTGTAACAAGATACTGGCAGGTTCAAGCCAGCCTGGAAGTCTTAGCTACTTTTCAGGTACTGTGACCAAACAGAGTGACCAAGCAAGTCATAGAGTGCTTAATTGAGCATATGGTTCTGGAGGGTAAGTCGGTGAGATCAGAGTGACTCCAAGGTAGAGAACACCCGAGAGCTCACATCTTGATTTACAAGTAAGCAGAAGGCACACACACTTCCTCCAACAAGGCCACACCTCCTAACCTTCCCAAAGAGTTCCACCAGCGGGGATGCAGTGTTCAAACATGAGCCTGTGGGGCATTCTCATCCAAACCACCTTACTGGTCCATAGAAGGAAACCTTACCTCAAAATAAATAGAATTTAATTTCACAAAGATGATAATATTAAAATATAAAACAATAAATATAAAAAGTAGTTCTGTTCTGTAATACAAATTGTCAAATATTCCACTTATCCTTCTTAAACAGTAAATTCATATGGAATATAAGGCTTGCCAAATGGCTAATCCCAGCGGAGCAGGACGACCATGAAGGCCCGGGAGTTCATAGCCAACCCAAATAGCAGCGTTGCTTCTGACATTTACTTCATAAGTCGTTTATTGTCATCTTAGTAGTACGAAAGCAGAAGAGAAAACTATGACTTGTGTTTTCTTGTCTAGGCAGAGGCCCAGATTGCTGCAAAAAATTTGGACAAAGAGTACCTGCCCATTGGGGGACTGGCTGAATTTTGTAAGGCTTCTGCAGAGCTGGCCCTGGGTGAGAACAACGAAGTGTTGAAGAGCGGCCGGGTAAGCCAGGGGCTTCATCTTCATACTAGCTCTGTTTACATATGTGGTGATTTTAAAATAACGGGAAATGTTAACTCAGTTTATATGTGTGTAATGGCTGATGCGGCCACACTTACTAATAACTACTCTTTAGACTGGAAGTTTAACTGTATCAATTATCTTGAACATTTGACAGAATCTGACTGATAATTTTGACCCAGCTTGTTGTTGGTGTTGATGAATTTCATCTTTTTTATATTGCATATGCATTAGAAATGGCTCTCTGGGCCTCGTTTAGGCCTATAATTAGTTCCCACAATCATGTGTTAAGCTTCCAGCTTGGATGGAAGAAGCAGCCATGAGTAGACCATGGGGGCAGGGCTGGTGTGGCTGTCCTCTGCTGCCCTGCCCCATGGCACAGACAGAAAGGCCATGATCCTAAAATAAAGGCATGCGCACTGACTGTGCTTTACTGTCTTTTGTAAGAAATGTGACGTAATGGATGTGCTTTCAAATTTATTTTTCTGCCTAAGATATCAAGACAAAGGCTGGGGTGTACTAATAGCTCACTGGTGGGATACTAGGCTTGCATGTGTAAAAGCCCTCAGTTCAATCCTCAGCACCACAAAGAATAAAAGCAAAGTATATTAACATTGTCCTAACATACTTGTTGACTAGCTGTTTAAAGAAACATGGTATCGGGAGGTTGCTGGATTTTTACATTATTTCTAAAAGTAACATTTGAATATAGTGACTATTTTAGTGTCTTTATATTTTGTGTGTGTGTAGAAATCACTCCTTTATCCTATTGAGAAAGAATTTTTATATTCTAAAATTTTTGTCTTACACATGCACACATGCTATGCCATGTGTATACCTCATCCCCGTGTACACATGATGTACACACACAGTACAAATAACTGAACAGGGGCTGGAGAGATGGCTCGGTGGTTTAGAGCACTTGCTGCTCCTCTAAAGAGCTTGGGTTTGACTTCCAGCACCACGGACACCTCACAGCCATCTGTAACTCCAAGATTACAAGTTCCAAAGGATCTGATGCCTCCTGGCTTTCTAGGGCAACAGGCATGAGCATGGTGTACATAACAAGCATGCTGACAAGATACTCAAAGTAAATAAATAGCCCTATACAAATAATCAAATAGCTAAAAGAATGATGTTCTAAAGTCAAAGGCTCAAGAGACTGACTCTGTGTCTCTCCCCTGCAGTTCGTCACTGTGCAGACCATTTCCGGGACTGGAGCCTTAAGGGTTGGAGCCAGTTTTCTGGTGAGTGGAGCTCCTTCAGGAATGAACCTTCAGTAGAAGGTTAACAGGGCATCCTAGCCTGTGTGTGGCTACTCACGCAGCACCAGGCTTCCTCTTCCCACAGAATTGGCAAGTTTCCGGTTTTCTGGTGAAAGAACTCACTGTGGAGACATGATAAGGAATAGTAAAGTCAGTGTGTTGAGCATAGAGTGGGGTTTGGGGTGTTTTTTTTTGTTTGTTTGGTTGGTTGGTTGGTTTTTGGTTTTTTAAGTTTGGTTTTGGAGTTTTTTGTTTTGTCATTTCAGAACAAGGTCTTACTATGTATCTCTGTCTGTCCTGGAACGCAGCTCTGTAGACCAGGTTGGCCTCAAGCTCAGAGAGCCACCAGCCTCTGCCTCCCAAGTGCTGGGGTTGAAGGCGTGGCTCACTGTGCCCAGCACAGCATGCAGTATTGATAGGGAGCATGTGTCTTAATAAACTTACTCAACTCATGTCTTAGTCAGGGTTTCTGCATCAAAAACACCATGATCAAAAACTAAGTGGGGGGTGAGGGGGGCTGGAGAGATGGCAGAATTCTAAAGTCAAAGGCTAGAGAGACTGACTGTGTCTCCCCTGCAGCATCTCACTCTGCAGACCATTTCCAGGACTGGAGCCTTAAGGGTCGGAATAATAAATTTTTAAAAAAGATTTATTTATTTATTTATTTATTTATTTATTTATATGAATACACTGCAGCTGTCTTCAGCCACACACCAGATGAGTACACTGGATCCCATTCCAGATGGTTGTGAGCCACCATGTGGTTGCTGGGAATTAAACTCAGGACCTCTGACAGAGCAGTCAGTGCTCTTAACCACTGAGCCATTTCTCCAGCCCCCAAATAAATCTTTAAATAATAATAAGTTGGGGAGGAAAGGATTTGGTTTACACTTTCCATATCACTGTTCATCGTTGAAGGAAGTCAGGACAGGAACTCAAACATGGCAGGATCCCGGAGGCAGGAGCTGATGCAGAGGCCATGGAGGGGTCATACTTATTGGCTTGTTTCCCTGGCTTGCTCAGCCTGCTTTCTTATGGAACCCAGGACCACCAGCCCAGGGATGTCTCCACTCACAATGGGCTGGGCCCTCCCCCATCAATCACTAATTAAGATAATGGCTTGCAGTGGGATCTTGGAGGCCTCTTCTCAGTTAAGATTCTTTTTCAGATAACTATAGTGTGTGTGTCAGGTTCATAAGATTAGCCAGCACAGCTGACCCTTGTCAACTTGATACACACATCACCGTTAAGCCACACCTTTCTTTTCATATTCAACTCCAAGATCTCATGATAAAAACATAAGTTACTTTAAAAATCCCATAGGCTTTAACAAGTTCAAACACATTAAAATTTCAGTCTCTTTAAATATATCGAATCCTCTCTATAATCCAAAATCTCTTTTAAAACTTCAAAGTTTTTCAGCTGTGGGCTCCTATAAAAATCAAAATTAAAAATCTTCAAAAGGGAAGAACCGGGGTACAGTCATATTCTAAACCAAGAAAAACCAAACTCCAACAGTATAAAGACTCAATGTCCAATTATCTGGGATTTACTCACGATCTATGCTCCTCCAAGGGCTTGGGTCACTTCTCCAGCTCCACCCTCTGCAGCACACACAGCTAGGCTCCCGCTGGCTCCACTCCACTGCTGCTATTGTTCTTGGTGGCCATTCCATGGTACTGGCATCTCCAAAATGCTGGGGTCTTCTGCTGCATTTGAGCTGCACTTTCACCAATAGTCTGTCTTAGTTAGGGTTTTACTGCTGTGAACAGACACCATGACCAAGGCAACTCTTATAAGGGCAAAGTTCAAAGTCTCTTCTAAGATTCAACCAATCACTTAACTGTAATCCCCAAAGCAAAACAAGAAACCAGCTGGGCAAACTCCAAACTCTGCATCTCCATGGCTGATGTCAAAGCAGTCTTCAGATCCGCAACTCTTTTTTCAGCCTTGTCAACTATAACAAACTTCTATCTCCTGGGCTGTTTCCACTCCCTGTTAGCAGCTCTCCTCAGTAGATAGACCACGGTTCTGGCATCTTGAACATCTTGGGGACTTTCTCCAAGATACAATTTTAATGTTACAAGCTTCTTGTTTCAATGTCTGGGATCCACACATGATCTTCTGGACTCCTCCAAAGGGCTGGCGTCACTTCTCCAGCTCTGCCCTCTGTAGCACTCTTAAGCTCAGGTCAATGTACCCCACTGCCACTGCTGTTCTTGGTGATCATCCCATGGTAGTGGCATCTCTAATATCCTGGGGTCTTCTGCTGCTACTAGGCTTCACCAATAGCCTCTCATAGGCTCTCTTCATGATGCCAAACCTCAACTCCTTTACATAACCCCTTCAGTCCTAGGCCGTTAACTGCAACTGAGGCTGCACCTTCACCAATGCCCTTCCATGGCCTCTCACAGTGCCAAGCCTCAGCTGCTCTCCACGACCCCTTCATGCCTTCAAAACCAGTACCACCTGGGTGACTCTTACCTATTACCAAGAACAGCTGCAGCACGAGGTACAACCTTGGCTATCTCTGGAACACAGCTCCTTTGTGGTCTCAGAAAACACTTCCCAAATTTCATCTCAATGATGCTGGTCTCTTCTTAATCACCATTAATTTCTTAACTCCAGATAACCAGCATCTACTGTCCAGTAGTCTCCTTCTCCTCTTGGCTATAAAGCCAGAGCCATTTAGCCAAAGCTGCTGAGTTCTGCTGCTTGCTGGGGCTGGAACATACACCACCACCACCACCACCACCACCCACACCCACCCCCATTCTATTACATTATCACCAGCTTTCTGTTTTCCAACTCCTTCACTGCCTAAGCTTGGCTGTCCTGGAACTTGCTCTGTAGACTGACTTTGAACTCAGATCTGTATGCCTGTCTCCAAAGGCATGGTCCACCAAGCCTGGATTTAAGTTTTTCTTCACCTAGAACTTTCTCTGTTCTAGGCAGGCCTTGAACTAAGAGATCTGCTTGGTTTTATCTCCAGGTATTATTAAAGGAGTGTACTACACCTGGACCTAAATTTATCTGGGTGGGATCTTGCCCCAACGTCACTACTCCCTTAATTCAAACTAATATCCTTGAAAACAGGATTCAGATCCATTTCACTTCCTGGTGCTTCTTTAATATTTGAACCATATATTTTATACTTTTCCTTTTTCATCTTGCTACACTTGTTTAAAATGCTCTTCATGAGATTTAACCAGAGAACAAAGTCTCTGCTGGGCATTTCTGAGACTTCCTTTGTCAATGCAATTAATCTGAGTCCCTTCACCATAGCCTCAGGCAGAGTCTTCAGACATCGGCAAAAGGCAGCCACATTCTTCACCAAAATACCACCAAAACAATCTCTAGGCCACATAATTGAAATTCTCAACTGAAACCTCTTGGGTCAAGTCTACACAATTCAAATTACTCTCAGTAACAGTCTTCCATATTCCTACTAGGACGGCTCATTAAGCCCTATTTAAAGCATTCCACTGCTTTCCAAATCCAAAGTCCCAGAATCCACATTCTTCCAAACAAAAGCATGGTCAGGCCTATCACAGCAATACCCTAGATAGACCCTGGTACCAACTTAGGTTTTTACTGCTGTGAGCAGACACCATGACCAAGGCAACTGTTATAAAGAACAACATTTAATTGAACTATTTACAGGTTCAGAGGTTCAATCCAGTATCATCAAGGTAGGAACAGGACAACATCCAGGCAGGCATGGTGTAGAAGGAGCTGAGAGTTCTACAACTTCATCTGAAGGCTGCTAGCAGAATACTGGCTCCAGGCAGCTAGGACTAGAATATTAAAGCTCACACCCACAGTGACACTCTTAACTCCAACAAGGCCACACAGACTCTAACAGGGCCACACCTTCTAATAGGGCCACTCCCTGGACAGAGCTCATACAAACCATCACAACCCACAAGATCCCACATTAAGCCAGGCAGTGGTGGGCACACCTTTAATCTCAGCACTTGGGAGGCAGAGGCAGGCAGATTTCTGAGTTCGAGGCCAGCCTGGTCTACAGCGTGAGTTCCAGGACAGCCCAGGCTATACAGAGAAACCCTGTCTCGAAAAAAAAAAAAAAAATCCCACATTAAAACATAATAAATAAAACAACATAAATAACTTTAAGTGTCTGTAAGTTGACATAAGACCATAAGCCAGCAAATTCCCCTGTGAGAGACTTTGGGCTGGTGAGGCCTGCACAGGTGTTTTACCTCATAGCCAGAATAACTCTCAGAGCCTGGTTTCCAACTCAGGCCATCTTGCTACAGCCAGAAGGAAATACTTCCTCTCTGGGAAACATTAGCATTTTGTCCTCTTTCTTCATTTTCTCATTCCCTTTTATCCCGTCTTTTAGCAAAGATTTTTTAAGTTCAGCCGAGATGTCTTTCTGCCCAAACCATCCTGGGGAAATCACACACCCATCTTCCGGGATGCCGGCATGCAGCTCCAAGGTTATCGATACTATGACCCCAAGACTTGCGGCTTTGATTTCTCCGGAGCCATAGAAGACATCTCAGTAAGTACGGCTCTCCAGGCCAGACGTCTGGTGCCTCCCAGCTGGTTTCATTATCTGACTTAGAGGAGGCAGCTAGCTCCAGGCTCTCCTTCTCACTTCTAGGCTAACCGTGGCCTGTAGTGTGTCGGCGGTTTCCTTTAAAGCTAAGCTGCACAACAAAAGTCTCGGTTGTTTCTCCTTAGAAAATCCCAGAGCAGAGTGTTCTCCTCCTGCATGCCTGCGCTCACAACCCCACAGGCGTGGACCCGCGTCCAGAGCAGTGGAAGGAAATGGCATCCGTGGTGAAGGTGAGAAGGAAGCATCCGTGACTGGTTGCTTAACCCTGAGCCTGCCCCCAGCCCACACATGGATAAGCTGCCAGGAACGGGTTCCATAATTATGTGAACAGTTGGAAAATAGTTTTCATCCTTCAGTCCTGATATAGTGAATTCTGATAAAACTCAAAAATTCATCTTTGGCACAGCAGCTGTTGTGGTGGCCTCCATTTGTCCCAGCCAGTGGCTATTTGCTCGTCCTTTGAGGCACATCTCCGAGTCCCCTCCTTTGCTCGCTGCTTTGCTCAGCATTGCCTTTTCTTTGAGAGGAGTTGGCTGTGACACTAATCAAACTTCCCAGAGAGAAATATTCCCATCATCCTCTGCCCCCCCCCCCCCCATACTGCTTCTATTGAATCTCAGCTTCAAACAGAGTAAGGCCCAGAAGCAGTCAGCAGAGAGCACTTCACAAGGTCATCTGTGAGCCCCGGGTATAGGACAGTGCTTCATCAGAAAGACTGATGCTAGTCCTGCCCAAAAGTAATATCCCACACCACTGTGGGCCTTAGGGGTGCCTCCTGCACCAGAGATTAAGAATCTTTTCGAGGAACCATGGCCATAAAAGTATTTTTTTAAAAAACAACTTTAAAGTATGTTGATAAATTAACTCTGGAATTCAGACATCTTTCCTACTGCCGTGTGTGGAGAAGCTGTTGACTGTGTTGGAGTGAATAAGCAGCATGGTACTGAGCTGGGCCTCTGCAGGTAGCCTGCCTCAAACACTGGTCTTCTTGGTCCTTCCCAGAAAAAGAATCTCTTCGCATTCTTTGACATGGCCTACCAAGGCTTTGCCAGCGGTGATGGGGACAAGGATGCCTGGGCCGTGCGGCACTTCATCGAGCAGGGCATCAATGTCTGCCTCTGCCAATCGTATGCCAAGAACATGGGCCTATACGGTAAGCCAGAGGGCCCAACGTAAGGTGTGTTCTCAGGGGAGAGCTTGGGGAGAATGCCACAAAGCAGAGACTCTACAGGGACAGTTTACATGCATGTGTATGTACATTTACATGTTCCTAATATGCAGTATTCCTAAGATGGGGGGGAAGTACTGTAGATTTTCTCAGACATATCTTCAGTGTCCTTAAATTCCTGTAGTGAGAAAAGAAGAAAATAAATAAGGAATAATTAGTTATTTCTGCATGCAAATTAATTAATACAGGAGCCAAGGAGATAAACACATTAAAAAGACATCCCGGGCCAGCAATAAGGCTCAATAGGTTAAGTGCTTGCCACTAAGTCTGATGACCAAAGTTCAATCCAGATGGTTGAAGGAGAGACTGACTCTCACAAATTAACCTCTGACCTTCACATATACACAATGATGGTGTACCACAGCAGCCCCAGGGAAAAAACATAGTAACTAAAAAAAAGTGGTGGGCTGGAGAGATGGCTCAGCAGAAAAGAGCACTGACTGCTCTTCCAGAGGTCCTGAGTTCAATTCCCAGCATCTACATGGTGGCTCACAACCATCTGTAACTGGGCCTGATGCCCTCTTCTGAAGTGTCTGAAGACAGCTACAGTATATTCATATAAATTGAATAATAAATAAATAGATAAATAAATAAATAAATAAATAAATTTAAAAAAAATGGTAATGACAAGCACAGTGGCACACACCTTTAATTCCACCACTCTGGAAGTAGAGGCGGGTGAGTATCAGTTCAACACCAGCCTGATCTACAGAGTGAGTTCCAGGTCAGCCAGGGGCAGGTGGGGGGAGGACTCTTTTTTTCAGACAGGGAAACCCTCTTGATAGAGGAGGGTGGGGGCAGCATGCTAAAAAGACTCTGAATGCTTTCTATTGTGCCTCAATTCAAAATTCATCCTTCTGACTGGTCACACACTGTTTATTTCTAGTGAGGAACTGTTACATCAGGTGATCAGATGTGGTAGCCTGTACCTGTAATCCCATCGTCTCTCTGGAGGCTGAGACAGGAGAATCACCTGTCTCCATGCCAGCCTATGCTACAGAGTGATGATACTCTGTCTCAAAACGTAAACTACTGTTGTGGTTCTTCTGACAGAAACTGATACCATGTAGCAAGTGTCATTTTTACTTGTTTCAGCCTGCTAGAAGACAGTATCCTCTGCCGTTTCAGGTGAGCGTGTGGGAGCCTTCACAATGGTCTGCAAAGATGCAGAAGAAGCCAAAAGGGTGGAGTCACAGCTGAAAATCCTGATCCGTCCCTTGTATTCCAACCCACCTCTCAATGGGGCCCGGATTGCCGCCACCATCCTGACTTCTCCAGACTTGCGGAAGCAATGGTAATGATTACTCGCTGTTCCATGCCACCTACAGTTCCATGGGTGGGAAAAAGCAGATGGAAGAGAAGGGGGTGTGCATTTTGTTGGCACAAATAAGTTTGGTATTTCCCCATAAATTCAAAAAATGGCAGGCTCTTTTATTCTGTCATCTCCGTACTTAGTAAATAAAACCTGCCTTCCCTTGAAGGCAGTTCAAGGTTCAGTTGAAGTACCTGGCACAGGAAACTTCCTTCAAAAGATATTTTTGTATTGTGATGCTGGAGATGAGATCCAGGGTCTCATGCATGTAGACAAGCATGCATTGTACTATATCCCCAGCCCCCCTGTACTTTTCTCACTGGCTAGCACTGAATCAGTGTTTCTACATACTTACCGTTTTATTATCTATACTCAAATCTCAGTACCTGTTTTTTCATATTAATCTGTTTTTTAAATCATTTTTTAAAGCTTTATTTATTTTGGACTAGAGAGATGGCTCAGCAGTTAGGAGCACTTTCTGCTCTTGCAGAGGACCTAGGTTCAATTCCCAGCACCCATGTTCAAAACCATTCATAACTCCAGGGAAGACCAACTTTGGCTACAAAGTGAATTTGAGACTATCCTGGACTACATGCAAAGCTGACTCAAAAAACAACACCAAGTAGTGTTCAGGGAGTTAGAGAAGACAGCCTGTCAGGAAGCACTTGATTGATTTTGTGAGAAGTCAGAACTTGATTCTCCGGCAAGAGGGTGGCAGGGTTTTGCTAAGTGAGATACATAGGTCACATGCTCAGTCCCTATAGGACCCAGATCTTCAGAGTGAATAAAGTTAAGTGGCTCTGGTCACTAAAAATTAAAATTCTGATCTCACTCAGAGGCCAGGAGCTACCCTGCCCTGGCCAGGATTAATGATGTTGCTGAGGTAAAGCCAGCTGCTGCCCGATGCTTCTTTATGCTTGTTTGTTTCTTTCTTTCTTGATTTTCTTTCTTTTGAAATAATGTTTCACACTGTAACCCAGGCTGTTCTCAAACACAGAAATCCACCTGCCTTTGCTTCCTAAGTGCTGGGATGTAGCTGGCCTTTGCTACTTTGTGGTTCATTTTTCCCCACCCTGTACCCTCCCAAACCCCTCCCCCATTTCACCCCCTATCACTGGGAGAAAAAAAAGGATAGAGAGGAGAGAGCGATAGAGATCCCTGAATCTTAATTTCTTTCTTGTTTTTTCTTTGAGCACAACTACTAACAACCCCCCTGCAACCAACTGTCCTGAGTGACCAACAACCACCCACCCTGCCTGTCGGGGCTCTAGGATTTATATACCCTCTGAAAAGTTCCCAGAATTTCAAACGTCACACAATGTCAGAAACTATCTAAGGCTGCCAAAACCACGCCTCTGCTAGAACACAAGGCAAACAAGTCATAGCCAGCAGCCATGGTCAGTCTGAAGCAGCCCCACATCCCCACGTTTGGATTCAAATGAAAATATATTCTAATATTTCTGCGTTCTTTAAAGATACCAAAATTCCAGAATTCTCACGACACTGGGAGGGACTACAGGTGTTTACCACCATTCCCAGCTCACTGGCTCAAATAAGAACATTTAGTCTCTAGTTGACAGCTGTCACCTCCGATGTAGCTGTGCATGTTGTCATAGAGAGACTGTTGATGAAAATAAACATACAACCCTCTGAGAGATAAACTTTCAGTGTCGTCAGAGTGGTCCAGTTGGTGAAAAAGCCAACAAAAGAAATCCCCTGCAGAGCCACAGGAATGGATGGATTGTAGCTGGCAGTTCTGAGAACAGGGAAGACTATTGAGAATCAAGCAAGTTTATCTGTCCTCTTCAGTCCCCTCACTTCTCTGTGACCATCCTGCAGCCCAGCACTGCTCTGTTTGTGCTGCCTTGTGTCACCATGGCTCTTACATGCCTGGCCTTTGACCTCTATTGTAACCATTTAGGGCTATGACCACATCTCTGTCCTCAGCACCTGGTGTGTGGCGTAGACCATTGTCTCCATTATGAAGGCAGGAATGTTTTTGCCACCAAGTTTAAAATCATGTCATGTTTTACTGTCTAACCAACAAATTAGTGTTCCTATTTTCTTTTTTTTCTTTTTTTTTAATTTATGTCAATGTTTTTTAATTTACTGTCGATGTCTTCAGACACACCAGAAGAGGGCATCAGATTCCATTACAGATGGTTGTGAACCACCATGTGGATGCTGGGAATTGAACTCAGTATCTCTGGAATAGCAGTCAGTGCTCTTAACCGCTGAGCCATCTCTGCAGCCTGTGTTCCTATTTTCAAATGATATTTAAACTTCCTTCCATACTCAAGTACACTATGACTAATAATTAAACTATCTGGGACAGGAGAGGTGACTTAGGTGTTAAGAGCTTTGGCTGCTCTGCCAGAGGACCTGGGTTCAATTCCCAGCATCTCCATGGTGGCTCACAACCATCTATAACTCTAGTTCCAGGAAATCCAACACTTTCCTCTGGCCTCCAAGAGCACCAAGCACTGACTGACTTACACCAATCAAAGCACTTACAATAAAATTTAGCCAGAGCATGACGGCCCTCTGCTTTCCTCACAGGTTGCAAGAGGTGAAAGGCATGGCTGACCGCATCATCAGCATGAGGACCCAGTTGGTCTCCAACCTGAAGAAAGAGGGCTCTTCCCACAACTGGCAGCACATCACCGACCAGATTGGCATGTTCTGTTTCACCGGCCTGAAGCCTGAGCAGGTGGGTGGGCTCTGGTTCTCCACGGCCATGGGCCAACCCGTGCCCTTTGCAAACCAGAATTTGTCCGAGGTCACCTACTAATTCAAGTGTCCTTAATGTAGAGCCCTTTTAGGTAAAGGGGGCATGAGGTATTTCCTGAGTGTTATGAGGTAAGGTTTTATTATTGTTGCCCAGGCTGGTCATTACCACACTTCATCCTAGACCTGAGACTGCCTGGTTTGTTTTCCAGAGCGCTCGCTCTCTCTCTCTCTCTCTCTCTCTCTCTCTCTCTCTCTCTCTCTCTCTCTCTCTCTCCCTCCCTCCCTCCTTCCCTCCCTCCCTCC